TCATTTGAAAGCCTTGACACAATATTGACCACCTTGAACACATAAAGCTGCTTTATTCTGAATCAGACCATTGGTCCATATCAAGGTCAGTATTGTCTACTCAGACTGGCAGCGAGTCTCCAGGGTCTCAGGCAGAGGTCTTTCACATCACGTACTGCCTGGTCCTTTGAACTGGAGATGCTGGGAATTGAGCCTGGGACCTTCCGCATGCCAAGCAGAGGCTCTACCACTGACCCACAGCCCCTCTCCAAAATAAATTTAATGAATCATAGAATCAGAGTTGGAGGAGACCTCCAGGGTAATCTAGTCCAACCCCCTGCACAATGCAGGACATTCACAAATACCTCCCCCCCCCCACATATCCAGTGACTGCTGTTCTGCACCTAGAAGATGATAAAAAAACCTCCAAAATCTCCAGCTAAACTGGCTTGGAGAAAATTTGCTTCCTGACCCCAAAGTGGCAATCAGCATTTCCCTGGGTGTGTAAGAAAGGGCCACAACAACTAAGCACTGATACAACCCTTCCTGCCTTCCCTCTCATGATTTGCCTAGGTTCACAGAATCCGCATTGCTGTCAGATGGCCATCTAGCCTCTCTTTAAAAACCTCTAAAGAAGTAGAGTCCACCACCTCCGGAGGAAGCCTGTTCACTGAATCAGCTCAGATCTTAGTTCCAAGAGGCATGGAGCTTTTCCAACTGAGCAAACTCTCTATATCTATGCACTGATGTATTCATATCTTTGAATAGCACAGCAGCTCTTCCAGACCCAATAAGTTATCATTGAAACAGGGGTGTTGCTGATGGGTGTGGTTTTTGAACTATCAAGCCAGAAATCTTTCTGTATATATAATTCCTGAGCACGTATGACATTTGCCCTTTTCACAAGTTACAGTAAATGCATGTAGAATCTGTGTACAGTGTACACTTGATTTTTCTTTATATCTGTGTTGGATAATTCTCATTTTACAATGAAGCCAATTGACATTCCTGGCTCCCATTATTTCCAATGAGCCTTCAAGTGTTTCCCATTGTTTCCAATGAGTAATCCTGTCCTTCCTTTTAGTACATCCCGTTCTTATGTTCTCTGAGTGTGTCTCTCTCTCCCTCTGTCCCTCTGTGTGTGTCTCTCTGTCTGTCTGTGGCCTAATATGCTAATGAGCTTCGCTGTCAGGGTGTGGCCTAATATGCTAATGTGTTTCTGCTGTTGGGTGTGGCCTATTATGCTAATGAGTTCCTGCTGGGCTTTTTCTACAAAAAGAGCCCTGATTGGAAGCCTTTCTCCAACTCTCTCTCTCTGTTCAACAGAAATTCAA